TCGAGTGAGTGTCCTGCGCGGGTCTTTCGCCATTGCCGCGGCACGTTGCCTCTGCTCTTTATCTATTAAAACGCCTTCCAATTTGCATATTTCTGCAGCTGTAACAGCTGTCAACGCTGGACGCGACGCAGGACTTATTGTCGGCGGAGGGATCGGGGAAACGCGCCAGCTCTTAAGATAATGTCTGCCGGCCAACGGACTCGCCGACTGATGTCTTGGCCAATGGAATGAGCAAATTAGGGCCCCGGTCTGGAAACGCAAATCGCAAAGGGGGCTCCTTTTGTTCGGACGATATACGTTCATGTCCCAGTAAGCACATACTAAATTTTCCGGAATGTACTAGGGTAAAAACATTGACTACGGGAGAAAAAATAAAGTTATTTTATAAAATTTATTAAAAATAGAGTATATCCCAGATCAATAAATTTCATAAACACAATTTAGAGAAAATGTTTCCAAAAAAAATATGACTAGTTAAATTATATAAATTAAAAATATATTTTAATTAATTATTTTATATTTATATAAATCCGGAAACGCCTCCAGTAATCATGTTCTAAGCTTTCGACATTTTAGTGGGCAACAAATTTTTCCAGTTAATTTGAAAATTAATAAGAAAGATTTTCAAAGTCGTCTAAATAAAAATCTAAAAAAAATAACGAAATTGTCTATCATAATAATAAATAAAAAAATATATTATATTTTTAGAATTCGTTCGTACAAAAAGGTCAGTTTTGGTCTTGCTTACTTTGTTTCGTTTTATTCGGTTTTATACCTTTTTATTTCGTTTCCTTCGCTGGCTTGTAACGCTGTCACATTACCTACATCAAGTGTCACTTTAAAACGCATTTTTCTTTCACCCCGCTCGGGTCTCATTTTGAAGTGTTGCTCTAAGCTGTCGCCACTTTGCTTTATCTAAAGACCGTTGGCCAATTCGCCCGTTTGCCCGTTCACTCGATGTCCTGGCCGTCCGATTTGCCTCAATTTTCGTCCCTCTGGTGGCTCGTGCTTGTAAACAATTCGAGGGACATTAAGTTCCAATTAAGTAACATTCCAGGCAAATCAGAGACCCGGCCTCTGGCAATTGTTTATGCTGTTGTTGTAGGCTTTTGTGGGCGGCAGCAGCAGATTGCTTTGTTAATATTAATTTGTCATTAGTTTGGCTTACGAGCCGTCTCGTTTAAAATGCATTGATAGCCCAAGTGGCTCTTATCACAGCTCCAGCTGCGAGCTGTGTACATAGTGACTGACTGGGTCGGTTGCCGTGGCATCAGATAAGTTTAATGCGCTTTAAACTGTTTGGCTAGGAGCTTGCGGCCTGGCCAGAGATGGGGCTAAAATCGCCGCTTTCGGCCAGGGTCCTTTTGAAAACTAGGCACAACTGTTGCTCCGGCACTTTGCTGATGAAAGGGTGCGAAGGTATTTCGGTTGCGGCCCAACCGCAAGCTCACCTGTTCCCAACTTAGGTTTTCATTCTTTTCTATTGGATAGTGCACTTCAAAAAAATGAAATACTTTTCCTTTTATTTTGACACCCGCTTTTAAGTCGTTAGCTTAGTTTGTTTTGCATAATTTTGGCTTTCCCTGGACTTTCGATTTATTTAGTTTTTCAATTATATTTTTTTTTTATAGATATTATAAGTTTTCGACTACTATAAACTTTTTTTAAGCTTGACCCACGAAGGAAGTATCCTTCGGGATCGAAACAGTCGCTTTTTTTATTTAGACTAGCAGGAACACATATCTATTTAAAAATATATTCTTGTCTGACCTGGATACAACAGATATTAAACTCAGATAATTATCAATTTAATCAATTTAAATCGGTAAGTAAATAACCAAACATTTAATAATGGGGATTAGTTTTGTATAAATAAAACCTGTTTAACAATCAACACTTTTTCTATATTTAACATATTTTCTTTTATAACAGTTTGTATTAAAGAAACCTAAATGTTTTAAAGAATTTAAATACGCTCTTGAGCCAAGAGTCCTGCTTATATATTTCTTTCGAATAAAGAGAGGAAATTTTCCCAGTGCACTCTTTGCGTTATCTAGTCATCGGTTAAGGACTTTCGTGTGCTTTTCTTAGGGTACCACTTTGATGGACAGATCTTGGAGTACAGAACATCAAGATTTTTTTTCCGCACCAAGTCCTTTTCGCTGGACTAGCTCTCTTTTTGCGGCTCTAGCTGTGCTTTTGGCCGGCCATCATCTTGATTTATTTTTATTTTCATCTGCTTCTTTTTACGCTCCAACACGGACAGATTATGCTCACATGTATATATATATATATGTATTTATATAAACACTAGCAGCACTCAAAGGCTTCGGCCTCAAGTGTCGACGTTTTTTATTTCACGCTACTTTGAGCTGATACACATGCAAATACACACACATACACATTGCTGGTGCCACAAAGCGTAAAAATGTATAAAGCTTATGCCAACTGGCAACCCGTTCAGCCCACTGCCTTTTCTGTCAGTCAGTCAGTGAGGCGCGTTATTTCAGTTTAGTTTAGCAAACCCCATCTCCGCAACCAACTACGCATAAAAAGCAAATATATGTTTTCAATGCGGCAGCCACGGCAACCGCAACGACGGGCTTTCAATAGACGTATAGAGTGGAATATGGCAAAAAGGAAGGTGTTATCTGATTGCCATTTTAAACACAGCACCCGGCTGCAGCAATTTCGAGAGCAATTGGCAAAGCACTGGCCAAATCAAAAGCGATGCCCACTGAAAGGCGAACTCAGCGCATAAAAAGCAGCGCCAGATCCAATGAATGGTTTAGCGGTTCTAGCGATTCTACAGCCCCCACTGAAAAACCGACAGCCAGTGCCTGAAGAGACATTAAAAGATAATCGGCACCAAGTAGAAGCGCAATCAGAGTCCGCCGGATGGGGTGAGAGTACACACACACGGACCCATTCCGTATTTGTCAACGGATTGTCAAAGCCAAGTTGTCAAGCGATGATCCTATTCAGGGGCTGAGTACTCACGCTTAGTCGTCTCGTTTGACCACGATCGTGCTTAAAAACATGTTTAAATAATAAATAATTTGTATTAATAAATACATACATATACTTATTACTAACGTGTAAAAAGAAGGATTTTTAATCACTTGTTTTTCCTTACTATTAACTAACGACTTTTATTTTAAAAGACTACTATGATTTTTACATTTAAACATCAAAAATAGCACTGTTTTAATTCTTGTCCACAAGGTATATAAAGTTCAGCTATTTTGGAAACAAATAAATATAAATACAAATTAAATAGCTCAGCCAAATTGGTAAGAGTGAATCAACAAATTAAAATTTCAAACAACTATTATTTGCGTTCCATGCTTTTAACTTATATATTTTCTTTTATAGAAACTACGTAAAAATAAAACAAACAATTTAATGGTCATTAACTTATAGTCATCTCATCGTTTGCTCATATTCAATTTTAAACACAACGATCGGTTAACTTTTTTGAATTAAGTTGACAATGAAAATGTTAATTTCTTTCCCCATCAGAGAAAAATAAAATCGCCAATTTCAATTTGATACGCGTTTGTTGGCGTATCAATTTTAACTTTCAATAACGAAAAATTAATATTAAAAAACGTTATTTGTTTACATTCTCTTTATATTCGAACATATCGAAGTGAAACGCGAGGGAGTATAACTTATTATCAATTTTATTGTCGGTGTTTATGGCCATTATTAGAAGAAAATGATTATTAATTTACGTTCAATTACTGCAATTATACAGTCAACCGAGGAACCCGGACACCACAATTAGTTGATGACGTTCCATGCTAAATTATTAAACGTTCCCACCATGCAGGACATGCTTTTGATGCCTTTATTGGCCCACTGCAGTTCTTGTCGCTTTTCGTTCCTTTTAATTGAAATAATAATTCATGCTCACGTAGCTTGTTAGGGCATCGGACATGTCCCCCTTTTTCTTGGTCTGTGTCTGTCTTTGACTTCCTGTTGCTTGTTTTCTGTTTGCTTACGCTTTTGCGACCAAGTCATGTGTGTGTTTGCCTACACTGAGCGAAACGGAGCCAGTTGGTGTTGTGAGTGCAACGGGGCGTATGTGCAACGCAAGTCGTTTAAAAGTCACACACTAATTAAACGGCACTCGGACACTTTGGTCGACTGGCCCCTGAGTGTATAGGATAGTATGGTTCGGTGTGCGTGTGTGTGTGTGTGAGACTGAGTGTGTAATGGCAAAGTGCTTACACTATCGGCAATTAAAATCTAAAAAGTAGCCAGCTCTTCCTGTCTGCAGTACCATGGCCGATGTCCACAAAGCTGGCTGCTTCTTGTATTTGCTTAAGCGTCTCCCCCAGCTGGAGGTAAATGATTGAGCTCTGGTTAGCGCAGAGCTGGGCAAATAATGCGGTGCGCCACGCTAGATTTTAATGAATGAAAGCGATAATCGTTTTGAATTGCTTCAAAGGAGCGCTGGACACAGAGTAAATAAAACGCGAAATCGTGGGGCCATCTTAGACAATATTTGCTTTCACTAGTTCGACTTACATTTTTAGAGAGTATTTATCATTTAGAGGATATTTCTGATGCTCTTTCCAAAGCACTTTAAAGGATTGATTTTTTGTGTGTAGGTATCTTCGATTTAACCTTTATTAGATTTTTAAGTATAAAATAAATTGTTACGGCAATCCCCTGATGGGGTACATAACTATTTCTGTTTTCCTATTGAACGAATACTTTGTTAAAGGATTTTTGGGTTCCTATTATTTCAAATAGGTAAGTACATATATGCCAAGCCAGTTCAAATTCATAATTACCTTTAGAAATATTTTTCAACGACTAATAGGTATCGTTCTACTGTGTTTTGTTTTTGTCATTTTTTAAAGCCATCTTTTTTTTAGACATTTGACCACAATCACATTACTATGTCAAATAGTCGACTGAGGAATCATTCGCTAATCCCCGTTTAACTTACCACAGCTAGACGTCACATCCAATTTTATAAACATTTCTTTTTAGCTAAATTTGCCAAAAGGTTAAGTTTTTTTGTACTGGTTTTTTATTTCGTATAGCCACTTAAGCGAATGGGGAAAATGGACTGACACCATAGATGCCGCCGGCAGTGGCACCAAAGCCGCCAATGGCCGGATATCCAATATTATAGCCACCGCCATAACCATAAGGACGACCATAATATCCGCCCGCCAGACCCAAGCCGCTGGAGCCGTATAGATTGCCGTACGGATAAAGTGAGGAACGTATGCCTCCGTATCCCCCGTATCCTCCGTATCCTCCGTATCCCCCGTATCCTCCATATCCACCGTAACCACCGTATCCTCCGCCGTAGCCGCCCATGTATGGATAGGGAATTTGGCGACTCACTCGCTCGCCCCTTTCGGAGTCCTCAGTTTTTCCAGACTCATTTTGCTGCAGCGGTTGGCCAACTGTTGCGGCGATTAGCAGCGTATATAATCCAAATAAAAACCAGCTACGCATTATCCTTATTGCTTGTTGAACTGCTGGCTGGTCGCTTGACTATATCAGTGGCTTTATGGTTGCTCCGCTCGCCGTTTCCCGACTGTGACCTGGCCAAGTCGCGACCGGTGTCTTTATAGCCTAGAACTTTGGGCATAAAATGGAAACTTTTGTTTCGCGTTTTCAGCACGCCGCGTGGACTTGGTCTGTTTGTTTTGCGGCCGCTTGTTAGCAAAAATTAGATGCTAATGTAAATGCCATAAAACAAACTATTAAAATATGCGAGTACGATGCCCCCAGCCTTCGCCCGTCAGCCCGCAAAAACGGAACAAAAGACCAATTCATATGGTTGGCCCGGGTATTTTCTGGTGGCACGCTAAGTGGCGCTCATGAAATCGAATGGCAGCCAGTGGCAGTTTAAAGAGCAAAACATTTCACTTTGCGGCGAAACAAACTTCTGAGCAGTGGTGGCCAGATTACAGGAGGTAGCCAAATTGTATTTTAAATATTTGATGGCATTCGAAAAGGCTTTTAGCGTGGGACCAAAAACGTTGGTCATACATTTCTTTTAAATTTTAAAATTTATATAATTAGAAAAAAAAGGTTTTTTAACTAAGCATTTTTTCGAAATATTTTTTATCTACTTCAGACAAAATGATTTATGATTACGTTTGAATTTTAAATAATTTTTAGATTAATGCAACTGCGTCTGTTTAAACTACAGAAGTTTGAAGTCATTTGACAGCTCAAATATTAATCCCATTTTTATAAAGGAAATCCTTTAAACATCATAAACTATAGACAAAAAATGGAAATTAATAAATTAAGCTAGAATCATAAAGATTTGCCTGAAAAGGGCAATTCTTAATAACTGAATTCTTGGAAAAATTAAGTTCTGGCTATAACATCGCCAATTTGGCCACACTGCTTCTGCGGTCAGGTAAGCTGTGTAAATGTGCTAATTCCATTTGAAGGTTAGTTATGCTATTGACCAGGCGCAGACCAACTCCCACTACCTTGCCCATGCCCCAAGCCATATCACTCCTATTTCCATTCCCAGACTTTAGGCAGACGCCTCTAACTTTGGGGTGCGTAAGTGTGAATTGCTGTTAGCTGTTGCTCTTGTTGTTTGCCGAGTTTGGCCAGCTTGCGAGTTGGCCAGCCAGCTTGTTTGCCTGTTTGCTGCTGTTTGGCTTCACTGTTTGTTTTATGAGCGTGGGCCGGCCATCAACAATGCTCGATGGCTCTATAGACGGCTTCTATAGCTCTAAATTGTTTTATTGCGGTTTGGCCGTATGTGTTTCGCACCCGAATTCGCAGCCTAATCCAAAAGCCATAGCTACGTCATTTTATTTAATTTATTCAAAACGCGAAATCTCTCTACCCATCTCCATTTCGCTGCCCAAATTTGCTTATTCAAATTTAAACGCTTTTAGCCAGTCCACAAAACTGGGTCAATTAACGATGTCAACGTCAAAATGATGCACATTTTGCGACCCACTCCGCTTACAAAACGCCCAACGAAATCCAGTGGATGGTGTAAACTTCCGCATAAATTTTCACCGAGAGACTGCAACGCGAAACTCATTGAGAGCAAAAAGGATCTTAGGCGGAGCATAAATTAAAAATCTGCCTTTCGCTCGACCACGGCCGACGTGGTGTAAAAAAATGTTGACTATGATTGTCATAATCAGCGAAGAAGTTGGTGCTGGAAAAAGAAACTGGAAACTTAAAAAAAATTAAAAAAAGGTGCACGCAAACATTTACCTAACTGTCTTCCCCGGATGGCGATTAGTAAAATTACTAATTTACATTGGCGTTCAGGTGCTGGCCAACTAATTCATGTTTTTCGGGTTGTTGGCTTGTTGGAGCAGGCTCATGGTAATTTAGGCGCCAGAATGTTATTCCACCAAATGAGAATTCATATTTTAAGAGACCTTTCAACTGGAACTTGAATTTTGTTTTTTTACAAAACCCAATTGATATTTCTGAAAGCATTTACTAAATAACCTTGAAATTAATACTTTAAAATTCCTCTCTTATATTTTAAGCCACATTTACAAATAAATTTTAAAAAATAATTTGAAAAGTGAACAACAAATGACATATCATGTAGTAATAAAATTAAAAGCACGTTCTGAACTAAAACGTTTTTACCTTTTTAAACTGTGAAATCTTCCCTTATTTCAGTAAAGTTTTTATATAATATTTTCTTGCTCGCTTTTTATTTGTTACTTCTTTAAAAGTTCAACATAAAGTTTCTCCTCCACCAAGAAAGATGACTATAATGTTGTGAAAAATGTACGCAGTCTTGTCACATTCTTCACCTCTGTTAAACTCGAAATAAGGATGGCCGGAAATTGACGGATGACAGGTTGGACGACAAATCAGTTTAATTTATAAGTTTGACCCTAGCAGATTATTTTGAAGGCCCACTTTAAGTGCATAAATGAATTAAAAGTTTTCTGCTTTTAACTTTTAGGTCCTAAGTAAACGAGATGAGTAAGTATATTAATCTTTATTACATTTATTAAACAATTGTTCGGAATTGACAAACAGACATGAGTTACATAAAAGCACTATATAAAAATCCGTTTTGCTTTCACTTAGCATATCGAGCAATTATAAAATGGCCGTTCGTATAAGTTTTTTTATACCCTTGCAGAGGGTATTATAATTTCAGTCAGAAGTTTGCAACGCAGTGAAGGAGACGTTTCCGACCCTATAAAGTATATATATTCTTGATCAGCATCACTAGTAGAGTCGATCTAGCCATGTCTGTCTGTCCGTCCGTCTGTCCGTCCGTCTGTCCGTCCGTCTGTCCGTCCGTTTATATGCAAACTAGTTTCTCAGTTTTAAAGCTATCTGCATGAAACTTTTCCAAAAGTTGTCTTTCTATTGCAGGTAGTATATAAGTCGGAACGAGCCGGATCGGACGACTATAGCATATAGCTCCCATAGGAACAATCGGAAAAATAAATGAAAAAAAATTATAACTTTGCTGTTTTTTAATTTTTTGTTTAGTTCTTCGACATATAGTAATGGTTAAATATTTCCGATTTCATCAAAATCGGTCGACTATAGCATATAGCTCCCATAGGAACAATCGGAAAAATAAATGAAAAAAAATTATAACTTTGCTGTTTTTTAATTTTTTGTTTCGTTCTTCGAGATATAGTAATGGTTAAATATTTCAGAATTATGTTTTAAATTTCATCAAAATCGGACGACTATAGCATATAGCTCCCATAGGAACAATCGGAAAAATAAATGAAAAAAAATTATACCTTTTCTGTTTTTTAATTTTTTGGACGTCGGACGTCTATAGCATATAGCTCCCATAGAAATAATAAAAATATATAAAATAACTATCTAATAATTGAGCTGCAAATCATCATAGTTTCAATGTTTTTCAGCATATACTCAAGTAAATCATAATATAAATGTTTTCAAAAGTATTTAATTCATGCAATAGCTGCAAGGGTATATGAACTTCGGCTTGCCGAAGTTTGCTTTCTTTCTTGTTATAACTCTTATTGAGGAAGGTCTTTAAAGAGAACAATGGAATTTTTCAGAACCAGAAATTTGAATTGCAAATGCGTAAGATTTTTTAGCTTAATTGCTAATTCTACGTTTATTATAGAATAAAATATAAACGTCATAAGGCAGACCAGATCAAATATGTGTTAGCCACTGAATAAGCCAATAACCGAAATGAGTCAGTGAGTCAGTGAAAATGAAACCGAAATCATTGACGACATTTAAATAACAACCAGTTGCGTAGACTGTTTACCCTTAGATTTTAATTAAGCCAAACAAACAAAATCAAGTTCCCGAATTCCGTCGGAAAGCTTTTCGAAAACAGAAAGATGAATGGAGAGGCCCACTTAAGATGGTGCTTCCCATGAACAGTTGGCCACTTGTCTATCGATCTGTTTTGTTGTGCCAGCAAAGAAAACTTGAATGTTTTGCGCATTTGAATGGGCGAAAGCCCATCTTTCGGCTGGACCACATCAGAGCTCCCTTTTGCGGGTGCTTGTGTTTGCCAAAAACTTTGCCTCTGCTCCGCTTTTGTTGCCTAATAGGTTTTGGTTATAATTATGGGGAGTGTTATTGTAGTTGCCTAGCGCTTAGCCAGACAGTTAATACGAATCGCTCTGTCCGCAGTATTCATTTCACTCATCTCAGTTTGGCGAAACACTCACAACTTTGATGTTCCGCCCGGTCGAACCACTTCGACTTTAATTCGCTTCCTCCGACGACGCCGCCAGTCGATAAATCCCAAATCATATAAATTGCCGGCCGACGAGTGGAGTCTTCATAGAATTCATCGAAACTTTGGCGGTGATAAGTGGCAGAAGTTTCCTCGAAATGCGCACATTTGTTAGCCTCGTCCTGGCGACCATCCTTCTGGTCGCCGGCTGCTCAGCAGGCACATATGATCCTGCGGCCCAGCTGCTGGATGCGGATGCAGGGGTCCTGGCTCCTACGGCCGCTCGTCAAGTTCGTCAATATGGAGGTTTCGGAGGTCCTGGAGGAGGCTTTGGCCGTCCAGGAGGTGGCTTCGGAGGTCCTGGAGGCGGCTTCGGAGGTCCTGGAGGCGGTGGCTTCGGCGGCCCTGGAGGCGGTTTCGGAGGTCCGGGAGGCGGTTTCGGCGGTCCAGGAGGCGGATTTGGAGGCGGTGGCTTCGGAGGTCCTGGAGGCGGCTTCGGAGGTCCTGGAGGAGGCTTCGGAGGTCCTGGAGGCTTTGGAGGCTTCCGAGGCTAAATACCAAAATCATCTGTGACTAACTTAACTTAAACCACTAGAAATAGAATGTGTAATCAAAGTGCACTCAAGCACGTTCTAATTAAGTTCGAAATACATTTACCCCTGTTCTTTGATTTACTTAATTTCCTTGTCATTTGCAAAACCTTCAATGATTGGCACTTTCAGAGTTAAATACGTCTACACTTAAAAAAAAAAAAATTGAAATTATATAATCTGGAAAAAAAATTTTTGTAAGCCATTTGACTAAATACAAGTGCCAAATAAAATATATTGGATAAATGAGAAATATCTGAGGTCTAAAGACACTATATAAAATCTCTGGATTTTCTTGGTTAAATATATATTTAGGTAAAGTGGAAAAAGTTTATGGATTAGATTAATGAAGATAAATTGGCTGTTTTTTTTTGTCTGTATATCAGCATTTAATTCTTTCATTTGCAGTCTGCCTGCTTTTTCCTATTTATAACAAAGAAATCCATTGAAACTTAACTGCCGCTGCTGCCACTGGCGTCTGCTATCTAACTTGCCAATCGCTTTGGTGCGCAAAAGTCGTTTAAGATTAAACGTTTGCTGTAAAATTTCTCTTTTGACAAGCGCCCTTTATTGTTAAAAAATTAACTTGGCTTTAAATTTACGCCTTTTGTTATCCCTTGACCTTAGCGCAGAGGACAGCCACCCAAAACCCCCACCAGGCCATACAAGGGTCATACGCCAGCATTGATAAAAGTTTTCGTTTTTTCTTGTTGCCCCGTCGCCCCATTTCATTTTTTTCTGGCTCTTGAAAAATTTCTCGTTACTACAACGCAGTCTTGTAAAAGGCTTTGTTAGTCTACACTTTCACGGTATACTTTCGGAACTTTGTTAAAAGAGGTCTTTTCTTTTTTGCGCTTTAATGACTTTGCATAGTTGGGACTTAAAGAGTTTAACAATTTTAGACAACGATTTAAGATTAAAAATCAACAAAAATCTCCGAGACTCAATAATGTTAGTAGATAATTCAGTAGTTACACAAATTAATATTAATTTAGATAAATAAGCGTTTAATACAATATAAATTTGCATTCATGTGATTTATATGGCGACAATTAGCATGTACATTTGAAATCTGAATTCAGATTTAACTAGGATTTAGAATTTTGAGAAATAGTATTTGGTGGAGACAGCAAAACATTGTTTTAAAATATGTTCCAGTTTTTCATAAATTGAATAACATGACTATAAGAATTGTAAGCTAGTTCATTATTATTTTAGTAGCACTTTTTGGATATGCTTGCTTCAATAATCCTCCTCAGAGTATTACAGATTCGATAGCCTACCATATCCTCCTTGTATCAGCTTTTGGCCATTTTGGCGGAGCTCCTCTTATCGAAATCGTGTCTCAATAAATCTACGGCACCTTTTGGATACACACCCGCCCACCAAGGGCAACGCCCACGCAGCTGGCAACATCGGTGGGAAAATCGGGAAAAATGCGGAGGCGGGAAAAGCCGTTCGAACTGATTATCCATGTTGACCGTAGCGGCAGCAGCCGCAGCTGATTGATTTGTTATTGAAAATATTAGGCCTGGCCCAGAAGGGAAAAAGCCGGATTCAAGATGGGGATCTCGAAAAAACGAAAAGGGGACTGACGTGGAACGTGCTGTGCGTTTGGATACGCTTGAAACTTTTATAACTTTATGAGGACGTTGTAATTTGATATCGCAAAGTTTTTTTATTGCCTTTTATGGCCTTATAATTTGGCCGCGATGTTGTTACTATTGTTATTGTTGTTGCTGCTTCTCTCGTGTCGCCGCCACAAGAGAGATGCTGGCCCATCGGGCGTATACTTGTTGTTTGTGGCGGCTTTTTGTTTACACGTTATTTATGGCTTATAAATACGTATCGGTTTTTGGGCGGGTGGCGCTCGGGGCGGATTTTCTGAATTGTAAACAACTCACATGTGGCTCGTACTTAAGAAATCTCTTAATGAGCATTCGATGTCGGCAAATAAAATTACCCATTTGTACATGTTTGCATGTGTTTGTAATTGGATTTGAGACGTTTTACCTTTTTGAGTCCCGTCATGCAAATGACGCCACAATTTCTATTCAGCTTGTACAATTTTGCAATTTCAAACGTACATATGTGATTAGTTCTAATTAAATTGGGAGATGTGGGTTCTAGTCATTTAAAAAAAATTTACAAAGTATGAAAGAAAAATTCCCGAGAAATAAATATAAAAAAATATTTTCTAAGTGTTTGTATCCCAAACGTTTTTATCTTATAATGACTTTGTTAGAAATACCGCCAATTGACGTAAAGGAATGATTCTTTAATTATTTCTTTATTTTCATTTCAAAGCAGATTATTATTTTTTTTTTAATTTCAAATACCTAATATCACAATTTCATTACTAATTACATTGGAAGCATAAGTTAAAAAGGATTTATTTAAAATTGATTTTGTTTGGTATAATTTATTTATAGGCAACCCAAATTGTATGGCATACGACAGTATTCATGTTAAAAATATTATCGATGGTCTTAAACTAAGCAAGTTTTGAAAGTTTAGAGCTTAGAGTGCCATATAACAATGAAATCATATAAATAGTTAAATATTGGACAATATGAGGATAAGGAGTCTTATAATTTGATCATAGAGCTTGTTACTTGCAGAGCTTGTTTAAAACTAGTTCTGCCCGAAAATTATCAGTTAAATAAAGTTACTAATACTAACAATAGTATTGGTTGTTTGTTGTTTATTAAGCTTATATATACTTATATGTTGACGGCTTGGCAGGTTAAAGAGTAGCCAGATAGGCATATTATTCTCACGCTTGTAGATCATAATTAGAAGCAAATGGCGAGAGAAAAAGGGGGAATAATTCTAAAAACAGGTTGTATGCGCTGCGCAGAAATGATTTTGTTATTTTCTTTTTTTTTCTGTTCAGTTGTTTACACTTTCTGCAAGATGTTCTTGAGAGTCGGGGGTTTTCTCCGGCATTTGATTATGCCCAGGAAATTTAATTGTTTAAGGTCGTCGGCAAACAGAACCCGTTTAGAACCCCACAGTCATCAAGGTGGCCGAGAGCTATATAAAGCGCCTTGGCGTAGGATCGGCTCGACTATAGTGAACTTTAGGTGAACAAGACAGCGGAGCGATGCGCGTTTACCACTTGAATCTATTAGTGCTGAGTGCCGGCCTGCTGGTCCTGCTGGCAAAATCGGGGACCACGGTCTCCCCAGCGGATGTGGATGTACAGCAACTGACTCTGGCGGATGTAAATCAGGCAACGGAACAGCAGGAGATGCCGGCAGTTCGCCTGGCCAGGCAATTCGGATTCGGCCGTGGAGGCGGACGAGGATTCGGCCGTGGAGGATTTGGCCGAGGCGGATTCGGCAGGAGGGGCGGTGGATTTTGCTGCGGCGGCGGCGGTGGATTCCGGAGACCCGGTTTCGGAGGCGGCGGTTTTGGGGGATTCTACCCACCACTACCACCGCCGCCCTTCTTCGGCGGCCCCTTCTACGGCTAGGTGTTATTAATTTAATGTGCATATGTGATACGATCAGACCAGGATTAGCTGCTAATAAATCAACACGAGCTGCTGCTCTAATTACCCGACCAAGTGCTGAACCAGTTTTTTATGCGGCGACGCGCATTCATTTAAGAGGGTCGTACTCTTTTTGAATTCGCATCCCAGGTGCTTAGCCATCCATTATAATGAGGCTCAGGCGGAAGCAGGTGCGAGATATAGGGATAATGAACCCTTAGTATTGGTGGTTGACATTACCTCGAAAAAAACTGAATTTGTTGTGTTAAAGTAAAGAAGTTATTAGTTAAAGTAAAATTAATTTTAATATTAATTCATAGAATTTTCAAGTACTTAAAACTTTTAGTTTCTTGTTAATTTCAAACCAGCAAGCTTAGGAAACACGATTTTGGTACCAAAGAAGCTTTTTTACATATTTTTATATGGTTAAAAAAACTTTAAAATCGATAAATGTAACGCATTAACTATAATATTGTCGAATCGTTTTTCTTAAGTGTAATGCCTATATAACACTTTTTACATAAACAAACATGTCACATATTTGTGACATTTATAAATAAATTCAATACTTTGCCATTAAAAGTAAGCTTACAAGTAAATTTTAAATATTTTCGGTGTACGTTTATAGCAACTTAACTTAAAATTATAGTAAAGATTGTTGCTGATAACTTGCTACCTGAAAGAGCTTTTTAATAAATCAAAAGAAGTAGCGGGTCTAATTGCCAAAACAAGTACTTAACTTGTTTACAATGCTTAAGCTCTGTAGAGCTCACTAATTCCCATAAATAGAGCTGCTTGTGTTGTGAAAAATATTATTGTAACAAAAATAATTTAAGATGCGTGCGTTACGCTTTCTAATATTGGTAATTTTTGGAGTCCTGCTGGCTAGAAACGCAGGGGCTGAAGAATATAAATCAAATGATGAAAAGGATCCACAGCAACATCTACCTGATGGAGTAAAGGACTTGGATGAAACTATTGAAAGGATACGTCGTCAGATTGGAGCCTTTGGAGTGGGCATTGGAGTTTTTGGGGCACGACATGCTGGACCAATTGGTAATCCCTATTATGGCGGTCCATATGGCAATCCGTACTTCGGACAACCCTATGGAAATAATTTTCATGATCGTCGATTTGGAGAAGGCTTTGCTGGAAATTTCTACGGTCGCTGAGGCACATAGTCTGCTTTGGCAGCCAATGTCGACTTAATAAAGTTAAACATTAAAAAGTATGTGCCCAATGGGATGAAAGGGTTGATGGGCGGAGGGGATTTGGCCCAAGGGCACTGCTGAAATTATAAAAATTTCATTTCAAATCACGTTGAGTGGCATGCAGACTGAGCACAGGACAAGAAAACTTAATCAGCGATGTTAACGATGTCAGGCTGCGGGAAACAGGATGTCATTTTATACCATCAAATGGCTCCATTCCGGGTCGCGTACTCGTATTTAATTCCGTTCCCTATTTTCTGTTCTGTTCTTTCTTCTTTCTTTTTTCTTTTTTTTTTTTTGTTTTATTTTCTAATTCATATGCGTTTCAAGTTTTAATTACGTGGGAAAAAAGCGAATGAACAAACGAGCGGCTGCCATCCAGGGAGCAAAGCCAGGACCACGGCCAGGATTTCTTCTGGCTCCGTTTGGCTTGACTGACAGACAGCTTCAGAGCAGCAGAACATGAAAATAACAAAATACGCCCAATCAGGCCAGTTAGTAAGGAAACCAGACGATGTACAGAGGGCAGACCGACGCCCCCCAGACCCGCAAAAAAAGGGCAAAAAAATTAAGTAGCGAAATCAGCGGGTAAAAAAAAAGGGGAGCAGAAGGAACCGGAGCCCCAAAAACAACACAAATAAAACAGGATAAAGGCGTTGCATGCCAAGGATAATCCGTGCAGCGCTCGTACAAAGACGAAACTCGCGGCTGATAGGGGCGGAAGAAAAATGGTAGCACGCAAAAATTGTGAACTCACTTGACGTGGCTCATTCTGACTGAGCTGGTACCCTACTGGAAAAAATTTTATTATTATAAAACAAGATAAGAAAGACCCAGTTAATATGAGGTGGCACAGAATCTTCCTTAAATCAAGCCACAGTTTTAAAGTTATAAATTTTAAACTGAAAATCAGATTTTGTTTTTATAAATATTTCCTCATTTGGACGACCTAATATATTTCCACACAAAAAGTCTTAAAAAATATCAATTTATATTAAATTACATTTTTTCCTCAGAATAAAATCTATATTAAGAGTTAAAATATAAAATAGCTTACAATTCTTTACCAACTTTTGAGTTTTAGCAATTATAAAAAGCCAGTAAAATTCAGAAAATTTAATTTAATTTAATTTAATTTTAGTTTGTACTTTTTCAATTTTTCGATAAAAAATAAAAATTCTCTCAGTGCACACTCTCTTTCCACATCCATTTTCCACCCACTGCCGAATGGCATGACGACGTTGTTTGGTGTTGACGTGCTTGTGGGTAGGATGGGTGGTCATCGCTTGTTAGCAGCATGCGGCGGCCAAATCAGCGCTATTTTCGTGGCTTGGCCAGAAGATTTGACCATAAGCATAAATATGCACAAGCCACTGGCAACAGCAGCTGGCCAAATTGCCCTGTGCGTGCGTGCGTATTAAAAGCGGCAGATTCTTCGGGGGCGGGAGAAAAAAGAGAATAAATTTCTGAGTAATTAACAATTACAATGATGCGAGCAAATTCTGTTGGCCAGCTCAGCTAGACCAGGTCCTAACGCTTGGCTGCCTGGTTAACGGACTGCTTGAGTGACTGACAGTTCCTATCAGAATGTGAAAGCCTGTCCGTCCATCTTTTCCCCTGGCAATCTGTTCGTCTGTGGTTGTGGTCCTCTTTGCTGTTGCTCCATGATGCTGACATTCCCACAGATGCTTCGGGTGTTTTGAGCAGTGCGAAATAACAATGCGAATGGAATAGGGTAATAACATTATCCCCAGTAACTTGCAACGTTCAGGGAAAAAATTATTTTTATAGAAAAATAGGGGAGTAAGAAAACGTGATAATAATAATATTAAACGACATTATACTACTATTGCAATTTATTATGTGCTTAAATAAAAACAGAAATTTAATTCAATTTATTAAATCTGTTTGAATGTGTCTACGTAATTTTTTATCCAACGAGACCTGTATTTTCTAAAGTTTTTTTTGCAATAGAAAATAAAATATTATTCAACAGGCTAGTGCAATGTTCCTTCGGCTTGCAGGATTTTGCAGTACTCTTTTGGTAAGTTTTTGCTCGAATAAACATGAAAATTGCCATTATTTGAGGTGTATTTATTTTTCAGTAAATTTTGGACGGCTACCTATTGATAAGCTTGCTTTGTAATTGATGGAACTCAACCAACAATTAGATTAAATATTATTCCATTTTCGAGTATTTGCAAATGTAGACAAAAAACAATCGGAATACATTTCACAAGATTTTAGTTTAGTTTAATTGCGATTGTGCTGAAAAATAATAATTTATTTAACCTGCTTTTCCTGATTGTGTTAACTGTGCAATCATATTAGTGCGGAAAGGATTAAATGATATGGTATTTATTTATTATGAGAATGAAATGAGCTTTTTACTGAAAACCTTGTTAAATTCGGCGTGTTTTAATAAACTTTAATTCGCGGCCTGTCAGGAATATCACATAAATTAGCCATCAACCTCAACACACTTTGGCCAGATTAAGTATGATTTTATTTTGGTTTCGTTGTGTGCTCTCCCGGCTGCCATGTTTAATTGTATTTGTGGCAATGGCACACACTCTCAAAGCAAACACAAATACGCGTGCACAGATGGGAATGTAGATGTAGGTACATTCTGCCGCAAAGTTTCGCTGCTGAAAAATCTAAGAAAAAAATCCCTAATTAAACAGTTTGTCAGTAATGCAAATAAACTTTGCTCAACTTTTGCCCACAGTCAACGAGCGCGTTTCGTTTCCTTTTCCCACTGCTTGTCGCTTATTATTCTTTGGTTTATTTCTTATTTTCAAGTTCTCCCTTATTTAATTTTTTTTGGTCAAGCACACAAAAATGTAATTATTAAAAAATTATGCTAAACACGCAATAAAAAGTTGGTAAGGGAAATAAAAAATATTAACGAAGAAAACCGACAACGGGACAGTGCCCAAGAAAAAATGTATTTTTAAAAGGCAAACGGTCAAATTTATATATTTGTAATGTTTTTTTGTTAAACTTTGTTGTGTTCATTTTACGTTTTGTTTTGTTAGCCGCCCGCATGATGGAAAAAAAGGAAAGAATAAAAGAAAAGCGAGGCTGGTAACAAGAGCAAAATTAACAATTGTTAATTTGAAAATTGCACACAAATGCGTAATGCGAAAGTTTTTGCGCTCCGCAGACGGACAGCAACCCGTATTCTTTCCCAGTCCCGGACCCGGTCCTCAATTCCGGATCCCGCCAGACTCAGCTTGGCCACTTGTTAAGTGTTAATGAAATAATTATGCCAACTTTGCCTGGTCCAGCCCCTGGCCGCACATGGCCCATTCCGCCCCCACAATGTATACATACACCGCAGAAAAATTAGGATTATCTGTGAATATGATTGAGAGTTTTTACATACCCTTAAAATTATGAATATAAGTACTGGTGTACTAATACTTTACCTCATCATCAAACACTACCTGCGTTTATTAAGTCTATTAGTAAAATTTATAAGCAATACCCTTTTTTTTATTATTTATTAAAGTAAAATGGAAGTGTATTAAAAGATCATTGAAGTATAGCTGATTTCAAACGACTTATTATAATTATGATCCATTAAAATCGTCGAAGCATATTAAAAACATTTGATAGTTTTAACGATTTCCTAACATTTGTTCAAGATCAAGATTATTTTGAATAATAATTCAAAATTTATTTGAGTGTCTCTTTAATAAACACCAAATTAAGGGGTGGCTTACTCTATTAAGAAATCTTTCTGGACCTAGATATACCACAGTTATTGCTCATACATGTATATATTTTGTTCAGTATTCTTTTTGATCAGTGTTTTTAAGGACACACCCCTCTGGACCAGCGGTATCCCTGCAGCCACTTCAGTTTTATTGTTCTCCTCCGCGCCAAGTTGGGAACAATGAAGTGTGAGCTGGACTGAGCTCACTCGTGCCTTCCTGGCCCCTGGCCCCTTGCTTATTGCTTTTTTTAATTCGATAAACTGCCCTCTGAAGACAGCGAGGAGAGATGGCAACGACCTTGGTTTTGTGGCGCCCGAAAGCCTAAAAGCAGGCAGCGCTTTTGTGCCGCAGAGGCTTTCAAACGCCTAAGCCGCTTAATTACAACGAGTCGGGGGCACCAGAGTTTGCCAGCTATTTGCTTAAGACGCGAAAATGTGATTAACAAGTGTGAAAAGCCGCCCGGTTCTCCCTACATTTTTTCTTTCCGTTTCTGCATGTCTTTGCGAGTTGTGCGGCGAGTTTAAATTTGCTTGAATAACTTTAATTGATTTAGTTTGAAAGTGTGTGTTTAGCAGGAGTGAAAATGCGGCCTTTCATTTTCTTACAAATTACGAACAAGTTTTGAGATAAGTCTTCTTAACATGTTCTCTGACACTCTGCAAAGTGATCATGTAGGAGTGGGTTTTTCATTTTTAAGTAAATAAATTTTCATAGAAATTACCTTCATTATTTTTTTATGACACCATTTTACCTTCAAATTTTAAAGTTTACGAGTACAAAATTGATTGAATTGGGTCTTTTAAATGGGTTAAACTTTCCGCTGACTGAGGAAAAAGTTGTCAAAGGATTGGCGTAGTTTTGTTGGCCGCACCAGATGCATCATTATCAAGCGGAATGACAGGTGTGCGCATGCCAATTTGGGCCAGCTCTAATTGAATTTAGTCAACTCCGGGGTTCCGTGTCTTCACGTTTGTCTGTTTCCTTGGCTTTTCAATGGGGGATCGGGGGCGGGATGAGCCGAAAAACTTTCCTGCCCTGTCATTGTAATACACACCTCGCCGAGCCGAATGTTGGCAGCGTCTTTGGAGTCGCAGCTCCTCCATTGTTCGGTTGTAGTTGCTGGCGTGTCGAGCAAATCCCAAGCAAGTTGTCCCACTGCCGACGACGTCGACTTCTGGGCCGACTTCACCATCGACGCCACCACCGCCGCCAAACAATTAACGTTAATGGATCATGGTAACTTTTTCGCCTCTTTGCCACTGTGAAATCCCAGCGGTGCGTGTAAACTGGCAAAAGTA